TGAGCAGCTTGTGAGCAGCTCAGACCCAGGAGAGAAAATGGCACCTCTTGTCCAGGCCGGCTACGCTCCTTCAGTATCCACCCCCACCCTCATCCCCCTCATCAATAACATTTGGGTTCATTCTGCCTGAATATAGTACAAACAGTTTATTTTGTAATTTGCATTCAAAAACTTTAAAACACAACGTTGCACATTCAGAAAGCATCAATTGTATGTCAAGTTGAACTGACATGCAGTGATTTCTCTAGTATTGAAGGGCACAGAACTTTAATCATACAATCGTAAAATCTTAAAGCACAGAAGGGTCATTTGGCCTAACGTGCCTTTGCCAGCTCTTTGAAAAAGCTTTCAAATTTGTCCCACTCCCCCCGCTCTTTCCCCAGTTTTGCAAATTGTTTCTTCTTTATATGGTAAATGTGCTCCCCATTTGTCCCCCGCCTTATTTGTAGAATTTTTTTCTGCTTCTCTGAAACATTTGGTCCCATCCGCACCATCACACAAGGAAACACTCAGGAGAAGCAATCTGAGGCACATCGCAGCTCAGGCCCTTCAGAAAACTGTCTTAAAGTAGGAATTGCACTGTGTCCAGCTACATTAGGCCCAGGAGGTCAGACACCAGGCTTCCTTCACAACGATGCTTCTGTCAGTGCTACAAAAAGCACCCGAGACACAGGAAGTTTATATGGTTTCTTGATTACCGAGAAGCAGCAGCACAGAACAGTGTATATAGAAACGAACATTATGCTGATTGTTATTACGAGTGGTGTATTGTTTCCTCTTAATAAAAGAGATATAAAAANCACAACACTGTTATTAAACCTGCTTTGTTTCCTCACTGATTTCCCTTCCCTCTCCTCTGGCTCCCTTACTCGTTCTAGTCACTTCCAGTGTTTTGTCCAGTACAAGATATACAGGCACTGCACTTCACGGTGAATCCTGTGAAGCGCTTTGAGACGCCCTCCCAATTTGAAAAGTGCAATATCAAAAGGAAGGATTCTGTAGTAATTAATCTGTTGTCCTCCGATACTCCCACCAAGCGCTTGATGATTCATCCGTAAGCTTTGAAAGTCAGGATCAGCGGACTTCAAAACTATTATGAAGGAAACACAGGTAGGTGAAAGCACAGGTGAACTTGGAGCCATCCCAGCTTTATGAAAGGCACGATTTCCTCAACAAACTGATGGGAAGTTTTTGAGGACGTAATGGAATTGACGGGTATGGTGAACCTTTGACCTGCAGAAAGCTCTGGATAACGTGCTTCGCAAGGCGTTTGTGGCTAAAGAGGAAGGATATGGTTTGCTGGAAGATGTTGTGAACTGGATAAGATAAAAGGAAAATTGTAGAATCCCACTCGCCCAGGCTCCTGAGTCTCGATACACTACTCGTACTGTACCCCCAACTGAAGACATGAAGTGCAGTTCAGCTCATTCCTGAGAGTTGTTTAAGTGGGTTAAATATGCCGGGGGCGAGCGGAGGGTGGGTGGGTGGGGGGGGGGGGCTGGCATTGAAAAGACTCTAAACTGATGCGTGTCAGTGCATTTGTTTCCTGCACAAATTTAAAGAGATTGCACTCAACACAATCCAGAGCCCAGAGGAGAGGAGGACCTGGATCAGTCCGGGAGATAACGACCATGTGTTCTGGCAATTGGTTTCACTCCCTGTCACTGCTGATTGACAGTAATAAAGCAGGAAGCGGGAAGGCAACAGTACAAATGTATAGGAGGCCCTTTTCAAAGGTGACTCTGCATTATCAACAGCAACTCAAAAGTTGCTGCTTCACAGACAGATTGCCACCTGGTGCCGCAAATGCTAATGGAAACATCTGATGGGAAATGGACAAGCGGGGGGAGGCGAGCACAGTAAATGGACGCAGCCGGGAGCAGAGAAAGCACAGACCATGGAGAGACGCGCTGGATCAGGGGCGGAACGGCAACGAGCGGCTGACCTAGAGACGTGTCAAATGAAAACAAGAGTTCGATTAAATATCTGTGATTCATATCGTTCTTACAGGTTCTGCCCCCGGGAGATAAATTATTATAAATCGTGAAAAATCTTTCCTTTCCCGGGGGGGTGGGGGGTGGGTGGGGGGTGGTGGGTGCCTCCGAGTCCCTTTGTGACACAGGAAAAGGGTGGGTGTCAGCGGAGGATCTGGAGAAGAAAGCGTGTTTGGCTTCTGAACGACGCCTATTGACGATTCCGCTCACACAGAGTAAGCAGAAGTGGTATGACTAGCGGCAGTCAAACAAATGAATGCCTACTAACGGCTGTCACTTAGAGAAACATATCCACAAGGCAGTGTCGCATTAGCTGCTTAACACGATCAGAGAAGCCAGGCGGGCGGGCAGACGGGCGGGCAGATGCACCATGTCCGTCCTGCCACTCAGTGTCCCTGTGTTCAGCGTAACCCTCAGAACGGGCAGCTCTTTTTGCCAATCTGCTGATTAAGATGTCTGCTAGACATCAGCTTTCAATTCTGTTCGGCAGTGCAGTCTCCCTCTGTTGCCAATGAAGAGATTGGAATTGCTCGAGCCTGGAGCTGATGTTGTCAGCTTAATTCCGTAGTCACAGAAACTGGAGAGTTTTAGCTGCCTGAGGCGCTAAAAAGAAGGCAATACATTTAAAGCAGCTGTCCTTGCAAAAATTGGCCCTTTTTTTTTATAAATCTAAAATAAAAACCAAAACCTTATGTGCAGGGCTCCTGCTCCATTCCTACAATGACCACAGCTACAGCTTAAACAGTTCCTTCTTAATGTCGGAAGTTCTCTCACTTTTTCTGCTCCTCCACATTCAGACGCAGGCACAGTCAGCACAGCTAACTCATAATAATAATGATAATTATCCTTGTATTTGATGTGGCACCTTATCATGTTGTTGAGACGTCTCAAAGCGCTTCACAGAATACACTGTAAAGGGAATTTGCTGTATATTTTGTGGGCGAAACACAGCAGCCAATTGCGCGCAGTAAGTAGTGTCCCACGAACAGTCGTGGACTGAGCAACAATTTTTTTTAAAAAAGGGATTATTTCCCCTGGAGAGATATCCACCAATCGTCTAACAACCGGGTTCCTATTTACTGTTAGGTAAACAGAGGCGTTCTGGAGTAAGGAAACTTGCCTACGTTTTTGCCCTGCCCGGGAATCAAACCCAGGTCCTCTTGCTTTCGAGGCGAGTGTTCAAACCAATACGCTACAGGACATCTGTCCACACATCGCCAGCTGGCCAGGGGCAAAGCCTAGCCTTGCACTGTTCAGACAGGAGCAGCGTCACATTCTCGCACACGAGCAACCGTTGGGGAAGATTCCTGATCGTCTGTGTTGAGATCCAAACTTGTTGTACCCAAATTCTACTACAATTCTCAAATTCAGTAGCAATCCCCTTCTCGTCTAATAATATCTGCATTTGGTGAAGCAACCACACACCTCAAAGCTTTTCACTGCCAATTCCCGTCAACTGTATGTATTTGTACGCAAATGTGGCAGCCCACAAACAGCCATGAAGCGAATGACCGGAGCATCGGAGGAAACGCCCTTCAAACAGCAACAAGGGATCTTCAACATTCATCTGAACCGAGGCAACAATATTCAAAGAATATTTTTAATATTCGAAGAACAGCATTTACTCCACCCAACGTCCCGACGTGGGTCTCAACCCACAACCTTATTCCGACCCGAGAGCAAGAAAGCTGCCAATTCAGTCAAACCGACACACAGGCCTCCACCCAAACACAAGTCCGCCGTCACCCAACGGCGAAGGATTCGCTGGTGTTCAACGCTCCGCGGCTTTCCGCCAACGCCAAGAAAACGCAACAAATGAACGACTTCTCCGGGTCTTCGTGTAGATACCTATTGCGCGGCGCAACGTGGAGACGATTAGCCCCCCCCCCACAGATTACCGCACAAACCACGGCACAAACCGTGTCGAGCGCAACTCTGGAATGAAATTTACACAATATAACCAGCGAGTCACACCTGGACAGAGAGCGCTGTGCCCCGGCCCACAGCCCTCCTGACAACCAACAACCTGTTGGGAGGGAGTGTGTGCGGCTGTGGTGGGAAGAGGGAGATCTGGAAACTCCAGGACAGGGACTCTGGGCTCTGGGAACCGGACACACAGGGACTCGAGAGGCACTGACACTACAGTACAGGGAAAACAGGGATAGACCCGGACCTGACTCCGGGATACAGGGAGCGATGTGGGGGTCAAACTGAATGGGATGAGAGTTACAGAGGAGAGAGGGAGTGAGTGAGTGAGTGAGTGATAAACGAGGATTGAGCTGTGGGGGGGGACAGGGAATGTGTTTGGGGGAGAGAGTGGGGAGAGGGGGAGAGAGGGGGAGGGGAGAGTAGGGAGAGAGGGGAGAGAGGGGGAGAGGAGAGAGGAGGAGAGGGGAGAGTGGGGAGAGAGGGAGGGGGGAGAGAGGGAGAGGGGGGAGAGGAGGAGAGGAGAGAGGGGGGAGAGGGGGAGAGTGAGGAGAGGGGAGAGTGGGGAAGAGAGGGAGGGGGGAGAGGAGGAGAGGAGAGAGGGGGGAGAGGGGGAGAGTGAGGGGAGAGGGGGGAGAGAGGGAGAGTGGGGAGAGTGAGGGGAGAGGGGGGAGAGAGAGGGAGAGGGGAGAGTGGGGAGAGAGGGAGAGTGGGGAGAGAGGGAGGGGGGAGAGGGGGGATCTGGACACGGAGGGTCTGGACGGTCCTGGAACCGATTCCCGGCGGTTGTTCCTCTCTCTCTCTCTCTCCCTCTCCCTCTCGGGGTCTCTCCGGTACCCCCTTTCTCTCTCTCTCTCTCTCTCTCTCGCCCTCTCCCCCCCACTCGGTGCAGAAGCCGCCCGCGGGGGCATCAGTGAGAGACCGAGACCGAGGCCTCGCCCCGCGGCCTCCCGCAGCCCCGGCCCCCGGGGACTGGCGCGGGCGGTGCGGGGACTGTGCCCCCCCCGAGGCGGCCCCTCACCCCCCCTCCCCCCCCCTCACCCCCCTCACTCCGCCCCCCTCACCCCCTCACCCCCTCACCTTACTGCGGATCTGCCCCGAGGTGGACACTTTGCGGATCAGCTTCTGCGCGGACTCCTGTTCGGCGTCGCTGTCCGAGGACTCGTCCCCCACCGCCGCCGCCGCCGCCGCCGCCCCGCCGCTGGCCAACCGCTCCCGGGCTCCCGAGTCACACGCAGACCCGACAGCCTGAGCTCCAGGAGCCGCCATCACCGCTCCGCAACCCGACCCGAGAGACGCCGAAGCCGCCGCCGCCGCCGCCCCCAACAACACTCCCCCCCCCCCCCTCCCCGACCCCCCGCCCCCCGCCTCCACCGCCCGCACCGCACCGCACCGCGCGCCAGTCCTCCGGCCGCCAGGGGGCGCCCGGCGTCATACCACAGCTCCTCCGCCAGAGGGCCCCGTCGCTCAGGTCCCGCAGTGCCGCAGGACGGCCGCCAGATGGAGCCCCCGACACGCCTTCCCTCCTTCCTTCCTTCCCGCCTTGTGTGAAGGGGGCACCACTGAGAGGCAGCGGCGCTGCAGTACCGCGACCCGTCCACGCGAGGGAGCGCCCCATCGTTAGAAAGGCTCCTCTCGTCACTCACCGCCAAGTCTCTGATAACCAAAACCCCAACTGTTTTGCCTTTCTTTCTCTGGAGCCCAACTGGTTATTCCAAGGGGAGAGGGGGTGAGGGGTGGGGGGAGGGGGTGGGGGTGGGGGGGGGAAGCGGTGCGCCACGAAACAACGCAGCAACGACCAGAAGTAAAACGGGCTGAGCCGCTCCCGTTAACCCGGGAAAGGAAACTTTATTTCGCACGAAGTGGGGGAGAAGCGGAGACAACCCCCCGAACGCCGTCTCGGTGCGAGCGTCGGGGGGGTCGACGGCATTCGGCTGATCGCCTGTCGGACCGTTGGACTTGATACGGGGAACGGCGTTGGATGGACGTCCGTCAGGGTGGGCAGCGATCCAACGGCGGCAGCGACAACAACAACAACAACAACAACAACAACAGCAGCAACAGCAACAACAACAACAACAGCAGCAGCAGCAGCAATCCAAACCCCTGGCTGTGATCCGGCCGCCAAAGAGGGTCATCGCGGTCAGACGCGCCGGACCAATCCGATCATTGCCCGATATCGCAGAGGGCAGACAAATCTACAATGGAAAAAAAGTAAAGCATTTTAAGACGGGACAACACGGGACGTTCTCCCATCTCGTTGCATTCGGAAGGCGGCCTCGGTCCCGGCTTCCTTTTGGTCTTTGTCTTCATGTGGCAACTCACTCCCTCCTTTCCCCTCGTTCAAGGGCGATTTTCGAGGCGTACCTCTTTGATCTGTGCTTTCGGTCACCTTTCACCTGCCCTCTCCCAACCCCTTCCCACTCCCCCACAGCTCGTGTACACCCACAGATATTGTCAAACATTTTGAGACATCCTGTAGTAAGTGGTGCTATGGTGAATAAAAGTGTAAGTTGCATTGTATTTATTCAGAAACATTAATCGGAATGACTACTCGCCACTCTATCCTTCTCAACTCTTCAACTCTGAAACACATTTTGCAGCACGAGCCACACTGACCAAAGATGATTTTTAAACTGTCCAACAAGTATCTGGCATGGAAAGTGATTCTGACACTGTGCAGAGATTCTAGGTTATGACTCTTCCACTATCCTCCTTCTGTTACATAATATGCACAACACCGCTGGCTTCTTTCTACCTTGACAGAAACCCATGGTTGTATGTGTAATTTACCAGGAGAGCTGCAGGCATTCAGACTTTCTGTAGCTCTTATGAAGTTTTCAGTCAGGAACGCTCTATAGTCTGTGGTGGGAATTTCAGTCAGACACTGAGTGGAGTCGCTGAAGAGCAGATGTTTCCCATTAAACTGAGAAGAGTTGAACATGGCGAAGGACATTTCTTCAGTTCCACCACGACCGTGTTTCACCTGCAGCGAAAAATAACAGATTAGTGCAAGAAACAAAAAACACACAGCTCACCAAACACAAGTGGTTTATATCAGCACGAGGACAGGGTGGGCAAGTGGACAAGTTATTGATATCAAAGACATGATGCACTAAAGGAGTTCTAATACGTTGAAATGTTCCTGTTATGGTGACATCCCCCTACGCTCACTCACTTCTCTTTACAGGGGTGAAAATGACTTTATTTGGTCAGGGCAAGCACAATGTACTGGCAATGAGGTTCAGATGATGACAAGACCCTCATTCATTTGAGATCTTTTACAACACCAACTCTACTGACTTTCCATTTCATTAAGAAACACCTCACCCCTCTCTATTTGGACATATTTCCTGGTATTTGCCTAAGTTACACAACACTGAACCAGATCTGGCATTCTTCTTGTCCTGCTTGACAGACAATTTAAAAGTATTGTATTTTCGCCCACAAGATACAGTCAATCCACTTCACAATATATTCTGTGATGCACTTTGAGACATCTCAATGACCTGATAAGGTGCTATATCAAATATAGGATCATTATTATTATTTCAAGTTTACTTCATAGAACCATAGAATTATACAGCAAAGAAGGAAGCTATTTGGCCCGTCGTGTCTGTGCCAGCTCTTTGAAAAGAGCTATCCAATTCAATCCCACTCCCCTGCACTCTCCCCATGAGGCATGCAAACTTGTCCTCCTCAAGTTTTTGTAAACTTTTAAATATCTTATATACCTGTATAAGCATCTTTCTGCTTTGAGACTGATGGATACATCACTGGAATCCACAATTGATTCATCCACTGATTTTCAGTCTATTCCTGCTCTCTACCTGCTCCACCTGTTATTTAACTTCTCCAGGGACCAGGTAGATTACCATCTAGATACATCTTTAGTGCAAATGAGCATCTACCATCCCAGAGCATAGCACTTGCTATAGATTTTTATGCAGTAGCTAAATAACCTTGTCCATGGTTTACGTTAAGAGGAGCTGACTTGTTAGTGGTTCCCTCTTGAAATGGTGAGATTTCAAATCTATTCATTTCCATTTCAAACAGTCGCTGGTAATAGTCAGATACACACGCAATACCTGAACTACACTGCACCACACCACTCACCTGCTGCTCCTTCAGAAACTGCAGGACGGACTCCCTGGCCTCCGGCCGAGTCATGACAGTTAACCTTTGGATCTCTGTGAAGTGGCAGCTCTTGTAATCAGTCACAGCAGCCTGAGAACCGTTAGTGCAGAGCAGCCTATAATGGCTGGATAGCAGCCCCCGAGCCCAGTCTTCCTTTGATGTACCTTCAACATGAAACAGTAAAAAATAGCCTCAAATGTTTCCTTTTAAGTACCTATCTAATTCCCTTTTCAAAGTTGTTATTGAATCTGTTTCCACAACGTCCCACAAACAGTCATGAATGACCAATTTTATCTGGGGGATTGCTGACCAGGACACTGGGAGATCTCTTCAAATCTTTACTTGCCGAGTGTTTCTTCTATTTCTCTCTTGATCGTCTCTCCCACTCTTTGTCTATGAGCTGCTGAAGTAGCTGAGTGCATATTCTTACCTAATTACCTCCCCTTGTCAGCCAGTCCTCACCACCACAGTGACACAACAGAGCTGAGATCACACTTACCGTCGGTGTTCTCAAAGACAGTTGTATGTTTCAGAAAAGAGACATCTCCCTTTTCCACTAGACACCTGAAGGAAGGTTAAAGGGAGTTATTTCTGGACCCATTTCACATTGATACTAACAACAATAACCATAACATCTTGCATTTATATAGTGCCCTTCATGGTGAACAGTGTCTCGGAGCGCTTACCAGTGGCAGAGCCAAACACATCTCAAACAAACACCCACATCTCAACACTAACATATAGAAGATTGTGATGAAATTACACTCATTTCATTGTTTTTTTCAAAAGTTGATGAAACTTTGAACATGTTGCTCTATACTAGAGTTAGCAATAAAATCTTATAGCTCAGGTATAGATAATATGCTCCATGCTGTGTGTGCAACCTACCTGAAGGCACCACTGTAACCAGCGTACTGCTCCATGGAGGTTGTGGCACATTTATCTTTGGTGGGATCAGTAGGATCCCTTTGACCCACACACAGAGAGCACAGTGTGGAAGCTGGCTTTGCCCCCGGGACACAGCTTTCACCAAAATATGTTCCTGGATCCAAAGAGAAAGAAAGTCAGTGGACAATAACATGAAGCTCACTTAACCTGACCAGGCACATTCATTGGCACCCACTGGTACCCTCATCCTAGCTACACTCGCTGAGAACAATGTTGACTGATGGCTAAGTGGGCTATCACACAAACACGGCTGTTACGAATATTTTTATTAAATTCACTTTTTTTCTCATTACTTAGCATTCCAGGGCTAAGTTCCGGTGAAATGCAAGGTGAGGGAATGCTGACAGTTCCGGTCACGAGTGCAACTGCTACCAGAGTCTTAGCACTCATTATATCGTAAAGCAAAGCACTATGTTATTTATAGCCAGTGCTTCTGGAATCGGTTAATATATTCTGGCTACCTCATATACTGTCCTGCGTAGCCACCACCTTAACGTACAGTAACCATCCCAAGCCTATTGGTCTAAGTGTGGATTTTAAACGATTTATAGATTCAGACGATGACATCCTTCAACCATCAAGACTGGATCTTGAAGGATATTAACTTTACCGACTTTCCATTTCTTTAAGAAACCACAGACTGATGTTTTCCCTCCAGTAATGAAGGATTAAACATTCACTGTGTGAAACCACCCACCGTTATAAGGGTCACAGGAAGTGGTCTTGTTCTCTGCCAGCAGCAGCCCCATTGCGACATTCCAGGCAGTCCGTCTCAGCGCAGGGAAACATGCTTTCTTGCCCTTTAGGGTGTCCCAGGTCAGGGTCGGGTCTTTCACAAGAGCCACCATGTAGACATCTAGAAGAAAAACACAGCAATGTTTTGTTGAGCAAATCAACTTTTAGCACTCCCGGATCAGATGTCATCACTTCTCCACTGACTCATTACACCCTTCCAGGACTGATACCAAGATTTAGCACAAGATGCAAAATAAAGCTCCCCCACATTGCCCCAGCAAGCACTCTGCTGTGCCATTGAATGGCTGGGCAAATGTTTGCGAGAAGAGCGTGTGGCAGGAGGATTGCTTGTTCACCAGGGAAACATTGCTGTTTGGATTTATATCAGTGCTACATAATCTGTGTCCTCTCCAGCACTTTGGAACGTCTTCCCGACATGAAAGGCACTGTACGAATGTAATTTGTTGTTGTTGCCCTGTACCTCGATTTCCCTTTAACAAATAGTGCAAGAACATAACATAAACACAACTGTGAACTTTTAAACAAAATGCGACTATCAAAATCTAGCAGTCTATTGAAACATTCAGAGTAAAGTGAACCAGGTTCACTGCACCAAGGAATACAGTATTCCATATCACTTCCTGAAGACAAATCTTTTATAAAATGTGAAACGTACTTGGGTCGCCATGTGCCTCTCCATCTCTGCACGGAGTAAGGTTTTCTATAGATGAAAATAACAAGAGCAAGATTTACACACATATTTTACTGATCTCACATAGCCAGTTCTAGGCTGGAATCTAATCAAGAGGTTCAAACAGTTTGTGACAAATATCAGGGAGTGAGTTACAGACAAGAATCTAATTAGCTTCAGACAGCTCAGAGAGGTTAAATTCAGAGAGATTCAGACACCTTACAACAGATTTTGGAAATGAGTTACTGACTGGAATCTATCGAATCAAGAGGTTGAGGGGTTGATAATAGAATAACAGGTAGCTGGTGAATTCTAGGCTCCTTTCTCCAAAACCAGTATGTACCATGTAATCACACTGTTATCTACTAAATTTGCTAAGAAACAAACACCTCCACCATTGTATTAAAACAATTCAAATTACCACAGGACTGCTCCAATAAGGAGGCATAATGGTGGTTTGTGAATAGCTTAAATGAGGTGAGTTTGGATCAGTATCGAACCACATTCCCTGTTACAGTGTTAATTCAGTGAGCTGACAGATACAATACAGAGAGAGGACTTAGTCTCACTGAAGGTCACGCTTACCTGTATCATAATACTCGGCCATGACTGGCACAAGGCCGCATTTCCCTGCAGCGTAGATGTTTGAAGAGAAAAGAACAACAGCGTCCGCTTCAGCTAACTGAAAATAAATGAAAGATGGTGTTTACTCCATGTTGACTCTACGTGGCCCTAGCTTGTTCACTTTGGTTTACCCAGTTCTCTTTGTCATATTTACTTCTCATCCTTCACTTAGCTACCATCTATCTTTTCTCTCCTGACATATCTTCACTATATATCTTTAAATGACGTTGTCTTTCAGCTTTTGCCTGACCCCTACCCCCACCCTCTCGCTCGATTTTATTTTTCTAGCAGAGCAGAAGACTCCAGTTGAACAAGACTGTACTGTCTTCCTCAGATTCATTTAATATCTCAGTCACTGACTCGTCGCTTGCCAGGGTCAAAGTTACCCAAACAACAGGTACCATATACCACTTTTCCCACAATTAAATCTATCTCCTCACACACTCATTATTTTCAACATAAACTCCAAAACCCAGTGAAGAAAAAGAGCCTTTGGTATAACCACCTCCCAGCTTACCAACGTCATGTCGTGCTGGGTAAGGAGAGGAAATCCCAGTCCCTAACCTCTGTAGAGTTTTTTGTGTGAACTTTCACTGGACTGGGTACAGAACAGTCTCTACTGATATCCATTCACTTGACATCCATTCAGCTGGAGCAGGTTTGGGAAAGCCAAGCTCTATCCCACATTTTACTGTACTTCACAAGACTGCTCTAATTTACCCCAAATCACAATTAAATTCAGACAAGTCTTGGTGAATGGTAATTTTACAGTTGTACAGCAGAGGGAACTCTTCTGAGTTCAGCCACAGAGAGAAGGAAGGTTTCATTTGTTCTGTATCTAACCTGTGCAGCATCTGATCTGGGAATACTTTGTACAAACACTAGATCCCCAAAAAGAGGAAAAGCAAAGTATTCTACATCTCATTACTGATACATCTCATGGTTCGTAACAGGGCAACAGATTGATCTGAAGTGAGGGAATAAATGATAAATAATCTGATTGATGCATCACCTCATCAGCACCATCGAAATGTCGGAAAGTGCTTCACATGCTTTGCTGTAAGATGCGGTGACTGTGCACTTATGGAACAAGTTCTATTTGCAGTTTCTCTCGAGACTGAGGGGCTGAACTGTTGCTCTGGTGTGTGTGTGGGTGCACCATTATCTGAGGTCGTGCAGCCTACCTTTATCTTTTGGATGCATTCATGGTTGGAGCCAGCCTGGACACAGTCAGCTGATGGCCAACGACTGCATTTGTCATGTTCCTGCTGGCTGCGAGTGCACCATCGGATCCTGCCCTTGTAGGCAGAGCTAATCTCACCTGAAAAACAGAACCAGTATCTGTGTGTCACCCACATTTTCTGTTTGATTCTGGTCTTCCTTCCCACCGGCATCAACACAACGAACACGTCGTTCCCGCACTGAGCACACAGCACACAGGGGCTAGGAGGCATGTGATATATGCATTAGCCTGAAAGGTCCCTCAACTTCCCCTCTCGGAAAAGGCTTTACTTCGCACAAGGCGTGTTGCTATTGACCCCAGCTCGGGTTTGAAATTCTGTACACTGTCCAACGCCTTGGGACGCCTTCCCGACGTGAAAGGCGCTGTACAAATATAATCGTGTTGTTGTTGTTGTTGCTGGCAGTTTCAATCTGATTGACAGGGGCTAAGTTAGTGCCGGGTTTGGAAGGGGGGTGGGGACGGAAGGGACTAAAAGAAACAAGTGCACGTTAAAAAAAACACGTGCACCCAGTATCATGCTGCATAGTTTCTGGCTGGGATATTGTTAGCACACAATGGAGATATCAAAGAAATCAAAAGTTGAATGGAATAATGTTTTGGATATACAGCACCAAGGAGATCCAGACTCTAAAGAGAGAGTATTGACAGGAAAGGACTTCTGTCGAAGTAACCATTTCTCAACACTACATCTCAATCCTCTCCAGCACGGATCTAACCTCAGCACAATCTGCTTTCAAATTTGGAATACGTTTCACTGTCTATTAATCTTATTCTCTGAGCCTATGCCAGAAAAAAAAATTAACATTTCATAGTTGAATAATCACATAACACTTTGTTTCAAAAATGGAGAGGATAAAGAATGAAAAATGGTTACATTTTAAAAACATAATAAAAAAGATACTTACAAAAAATTCCCAAGAGCAGAGGTGTGAAGAGTAAATGCATCTTTGGAGTGAAAAGTCTGTCACAACCAGCCCAGAATAAGGTTATGACAACCCTCTGCATCTCGTCTTCTGATTAGCCTTTATAAAGTTCAGAACTGGCAGTAACATTGACCTCCGGCTGTTTACATTATCTTTCTCAAGAGGAATTACGGACAAACTTCTGCAATTCAAATTTTGGAAAACCCTCAAGAAGTGACAAGGACATTTCATGATTTTTGTTTATTTTAAAGTTACCGTCATTTACATGAATAAACCACTTGTAATGGTAAATTGTGTAATGCTGTTCAGAAACCTGCTCAAATAGCATTTTATTTCAACACCTTTCCTGCTTATAAATTTACCTTTTAACATTTCTCTCACATTTCCTTCACCTTTTATCACTGAAAATGGTTACTTCTCAAAACTAGATGTTGTGTTGAGAAGTGATTACTTTGACAAAAGTCCTTTCCTTACAATGCTCTCTTAAATACAATTCTATTTGCTTCAAAGAGGAAACATTTGTACTTCTCGTTAAAGAAAATAAACAGTTTCTAATGCATTTGCAAGTGTAATGTGACAGAAGACTGGGCAGCTTAGGATTTAATAATTGAGACAGGCCAACATGCTTTTCTCTTTGTTTATTGATACCTGAATAGTTTGGATCAGGTGAGTAAAATTAACACTATATTTCTTTTTAGTAAAGTAAGACCGATGCCACTGAACACCTCAGTTTAACCTGATGTGAATGCAGTCGTAAGCTTCTCTTTATCATAAGATCACAGGAAGGTTTGGATGAGGAAGGCCCTTCCTTCTATTCGATCTCATCCTCCCGCCACAGCATTGAGCAGCATCCTGCCCTCAAACACCCATCCTGTCAACTTGCTCCAGTCATTAATTATTCCCTGGGGAAAGAAATGCTTTTTGATGTCTGTCCTTTAATCGCCCTTTACCACCCTACCCTAATATCATCAATGAGCACCTCTACATAGACTATCAGCAGGAAAACACCTCTACATAGTTAAGAATTAGAAAGGAGCACCCCTTTCTAGCCTGATATTAGTAGTGAGCTTTCTGCAGAGATTCATTCTGTCAGTCATTATCTCCATGTATACTGACATCATTGAGTACTTTTGCAAGGGATAATATTAACAATGAGCCATGGAGAGGGCAGGGATATGCAAGCCCCAGTCAGCTGGGCAGAAGGTGCCAACTGAGGAGTTCAGGCAGGAATGCTGAGCAGCTCTATATAGCCTGATGCCACTGTAGTACTGAGTAACTCTTTCTAACAAATATTTTGAAATATGATTTGAATGAGGTATGATAAGTAAGTTAGAGTATGTCAGAGCTGGTGACAAAATAATTCATACAGTAATAGCAGATCACTGAAAATAAATTGGATGATTTGTTCACATATGCAACTGATTTTGAATGCTTTAAGAGCCCAGTATAATCTCAGCCCAGAACATAGAGCCCAGAATCAGATCCAGTCACAATGTGGCACTCAGCCACCACCAGTTGCCTGCTTTCCAGCACTGCCACATGATGAAGCAATATGCCTGTCAGCATCCATTTAGCTTAATAGTTAGCACACATTAGGAAATTCTGTCCTGCTGACATTATTAATTTATTTCAACCATGTCAAGGTTCGGTTTGCTCTGGGAATGGATTGGCAGAACACTGTGGTGTGGCAATACATTGTGCAGCAGGTCAAGGAAAATTTTCCTTTTTTTGCAATACAGTGAGCTCATTATCAGAACACTAACAAAGACTAGGTTTGTCCTGACATTCAGGCTTTCCTCTCCGCTTCACAGGACTGTGCTTATACAGCTTCTTGTCATACACGTCAGCCTGGCTCAATTGGTAGCATGCTTGCCTCGGAGTCAAAATATTGTGGTTTCAAGCCCCACATTGGGAAATTGAACTCGTAGCCCAGGCTGCCACTCCAATGCAGTGCTGGGGTGTATTGGAGGTGTTCCTTTTTTGGGTGTGATGTTAATTAAGCATAATTAATCTTAGTGAGCCAATCTGAGTAAAGATGTGGCAGCCGCACAGAGTGGCAGAGCAAAGGTTTGCATTTATACCTTAGTGTAAGGCTATAAGAACTTAAAATGTCCTATAATTTCAAATTAATAATAATTGTAGGAAATTCTTAAATTCAGTCTTGATTTAATTGTAATTTGCTGTTATAGTAGTTGGAAGTTACAGTAGTTATTTTTTTAAGAACTGTAGAAAATTGGCTTCCAAATTTATAAACTTAATTTAAGAGTTTACCCCAATTGTATGTGATGTTAAATGTCAGGACAAAATAGTCTTACGGAGTAAGACTAGGGAGATTTAGGGCGCTCATTTGGGAAAATACAGTTCAAGAAATTTGCTAAAAATGGATACAATGACTTAATGGCTTCAATGAAGAATTAGTTAATTGGCAACTGTCTAAGTAGATACATAGTGGTAAGTGCTCAGACTGCATTGGACCCATCTAATGTCGTGCTGCACAGTAACATGAGTTCAGAATTACAAACAAACCTTTGGATGGCTGCAAACCACTTGCTGTATGAAGGCAATCTATACTTTGGGTTAATTTGTGCTTTAGTCTGTCTCCAATCAGTTCTGTCTGGAACAAATGCTTGTTCTCTGAATCCAATTAAAAGAAGATTGAAATCTCCTTCATAACGTCTATTGATCTCACAGAACAATTATACAGAACTGGCTCATTTGGCAGCACTCTTACCTCTAAATCAGAGGTTTGTGGGTTCAACTCTACATCAGGACTCTGAGCTCACAGTCTGACCTCCAATACTGTATTGTGGAAGCACTGCAATGTTGGAGGTGCTGTACTTCGAATGAGATGTTAAACCAAGTGTTAAACTCTGTGTGTTCCATGCCTTTGTCACCTCTCGGCTGGACTACTCTAACGCCCTCCTCGGTGGTCTCCCATCCCCCACCATCCATAAAAACCAAATCATCCAAAACTCTGCCGCCTGCATTCTCACCCGCACCAAACTCCACCCCCCGATCACCCCAGTCCGTGCCAGACTGCACTGGCTGCCTATTCCAGAGAGGATCGATTTCAAGATCCTCACCCTTGTATTCAAATCCCTCCACTCCTCTGCACCCCCCTACCTCTCTGACCTCCTCTCTCCTCAAAACAGCATCCGTTGCTTTTGATCCTCCGGGTCTGACGTCCTCCTCATCCCGAGTCCTCCGCTCCACCCTCAGTGGCCGTGCCTTCAGCCACTATGCCCCGAAGCTCTGGAATTCCCTTCCTCACTCCCTTCGCCTCGCCTCCTCTCTTCCTACTTTCAGGTCCCTTCTGAAGACCTTTCTTTTCGGCCGCGCCTTTGGTCACCTTCCTCCCCTTCCCCCTGGCTCGGCCCCGGGATTCCTTATTGTGAAGCGCTCTGAGACGCCGTCCGGCGTGGAGGGCGCAATATAAATCCAATTTATTGTTGTTGTTGTTAAAAGATCCATAACACTACTTGAAAAAAGAAGGAAGCTTCTCCCAGTGTTCTGGCCAATAAACCCCCGGATAAAATTAGGCATTCACTTCATGGCTGTTTGTGGGATATTACCTTCATAAATTGGCTGCCTCATTCGTCTACAAATACAGTCACCACACTTTGCAAATAAATTCTATGAAGTGCCTTGAGACATTTCAATGATGTTATAAGTCAATGATGAATGGCAAATGCAAGGATTACTATTGTTATTATATACTGCTCTGTTCAGTTTTTGCATTAATTGAAATCTTCAATGACCAATTTACAAGGAAAGATGTCCTTGAGAGTATGATAGGGTTATTTGGGAAATGCCCAACTCATATATACTTTGTAATTTCGTACATTTTTTGGAGCAATGGGACCAAGTATTTGAATCCACAATGTGTGAAATCTCTAAACTTTCTGCACCAGGAATGTATACAATTGTTAACAGTTTTCACTGTGGCTCATATAAATCCAAGCCTCATAGGGCTGAAATGCCGGTTGTTGTTACGTGTAGTGACTTTAGCAATGTGGGATCAGAGTCTGACATCATCAAGGCCATAAAACACATGGCCAACCAGAATGTCAGCTCAATAGTGAGGCGTTGTCTTTCCGATTGTTAGAGGAATGAGCTATGACAATTAGACACACGAGGGCTTTTCAGTGTTGAGACAAAATCTCACAGAGAGGACATCATAAAGCTGCATTCAATTTTAAATGGGATTGAAAGAGTAAACCCAGATGAATATTTCAGTATGCAACAGGACAATATAACAAGAGAATGTGAGTTTAGAGTTGCAAAGAGTAATTTCAGACACCAGGAAGTTTTTCTTTATTCAGAGGATAATCAATAGATGGGAACAAACTACCAGGAAGGCTGGCTGAGACTAGGTCACAGGTATTCTGGAAAGACTAAATCAGATGAACCAAAAGACACTCTTCATCCAAACTAATCTGTGATCTTGTAGTCTGGATCATGATCAAATAGTCTGCCACTGACTCACACGTGAACCTTGGGCCAGTACAAGAGGGCTCCCAGCCAATTTGAAACAACCTTGACCCAGAATAAGCCATCACTTTCTGGAGAGATGGGAGAGAAGAATCAGACAGGAAAATATCCCTCCAAATAATCGTAAAATGTTATCAAAAATTGTACTCAGAAAATAGCAAACTGACACTGAAATTACTGAGGAATGAGTTTATTTAATACAAAATAATCCTTGCATTTGATATAGCACTTTGCACGTCTTCTAGATGTCTCAAAGAGCTTAATAACAAAGGAAAGCAGAATCAAGCCCCTACTGCTCTATTTCTACAGTAGACAGATATGCACAGCTGGTCACATGTGAAACATTGACTCAACGCAGGGAAATAGTTTAGGCCATCGAAGATCAGTTACAAGCAATTGAAAGTTGCAGTTCAGGTGGTATGGAAATCCTTCAATGGTTAGCAGCTGTTAAATGAGCAAGCTTCAAGAAGCTCTGGAATAAAGAAACAAGAATAATATTACAACATAGTTCTGATTCTTATAATAATCAGCATCAGTAAGATACTTTTTTGATGTAATGCACTGTTAACTGACTCCCTCATAATGAGCAGATATAAAAGATTCGGGGGATAGCACATTGAATCCCATCAAAGTCCCATCAAAAAGGAAAACCCTGACTAGTATTGTTTAATCAAAGCAGGAAAAGAGCATAATAATATCTTACAAGAGCTTATTTGGCTGTTTTTGATAATTCTCCAAACATTTCCAGTCACAGAAGTAATTTCTGATAATGGGGAATTCAATCAATTACAAGACCAAGACTCAAAGTTAAATATTACATTGCTCTCTATGAAGACTCGGTGGTGGGGTGGGTAAATGTCATCAAAACCTCATCTGAGTGTTGTGTTGGTTAAGCTTGTTGTTCTTTCACCACCAGGTTTCACCACCAGCTTTGGTGAAGTAAAGGATTTTTTAATAGCTTGTTCACTGTAATAGCTTGGCACGAAATGCATGTGGCAAATTCAACCTAGTTGCTGATGGGAATGCACTGAGAGCACAAGTTTGTTTATCATCTAGCATTAAATGGCAGAGAGATCATCAGTATGTTGGTGCTGGGTACAGAAAGATGACAAGTGCTGCAGGAGAATTTTTTTAGGTTAAGTTTAAGATATCTTCTTGGGGCATCCAATCCATGCTGTACCTATGTAGGAAGTGTTTGGCGGACCACTACAAGGCAAATGTACTCAGCATTTAATGTATCTTGATAGGGCAGCACCTCGCATCCCACATATGATATGGAAATCTACGATGCAGCAATATGGAGGGAGCTTTAATCCTCACTTTATCTGTCCTATGGGTTGTTGTTCTAATAATGCACGCAGAGTTTACATTCTTCAGTCCTTTCTTCTTGAAAGCACAAAAGTACCCATATAACAGATCCTATAACAATCCATTTTGTGCAATATTGCTAATATTTACCAGAAGGTTGGCAGGAGTTCAAGCCTTCCATTGCCTTTACGTATTGAGGACCCAGGAACGATTTGTAGTCCTTGGCAAAAACTTCAACCAGACACTGAGTGGAGTCCTTGAAGAGCAAGTCCTTCCCAGAAAACTGAGAAGACTTGAACATGGAGAAAGTTTTTTCTTCAGTTCCACCGCGACCATGTTTCATCTGTATTTAGAAACAACAGTTTACTGCAAGAAACACACAGCCCACAGCTCACCCTAAAGATGTATTTTGCATTCGTCAGATTCCATTATTTGAATACTCCCATGATTTCGACAATCCTCATCTAACATCTTCGATCCCAATCTCTCTCATGACAGTGAAAACTGGATATCGGTAACAATGGTAGCTCAGGTTAAATTCCTGTTATAGCTGACCCGAGGTGGAATGGTGGTAAAACGTAAGAGTTGGCCTCATTGCTTCCGAGCTTCTGATGGGAAAAATCAGTCAGGGAAGCCATGCCTTTGCTTCACACATACTGCTGGATATTGGTTGAGGGCAAGGACGAGCTATTATACTTTAAAATCAGATCTCTTGTTTTTGATTCGCTGGGCTGGAGAATTAAACTATAGTAGAATTATTAGTTATTAAATTAGTAATGCACCAAAAAGTTGGACTTTTCAGTTATAGGAAAAGAAACATAGATGTTTGGGTTTAATGTGTTCTTTGTCCCCCTTCCAATTTTCTACTCTTCAATCCTGAAGGCGTTGATTCATGCTGGGGGAGAATTCTAAGGACTCCAGTAAGCATATGGCAAAGTGTCCAAGTGGCCATGCTTCACGTATAGCCTGGACAGTGATTGGTGTAGGTTATTTGATCATCGAGTTGATCACAGCCAAATTCAACCCTGTCACAGACATGCATTTATAGTTGGGTCACTGGATTAGGAGGAGGAAACCTGGCTAATTTTGTACCTCTCAAACCTGAACACTAAAAGACCAATTGTAGTCTCTACTGTTGTCCCAAATCAGCTAACTCAGCACAGGACAAGGGTGAATCCCAGGCGGTGCTTTCACTGAAGGGGTCCTTTATTGGGACCTTCATCCAAGGTGTGCCCTAAGTCTTTACCATCCACTAATGAAACAAGTAACAGCCATATTAGATAATTAACAAGAAATGCCTTCAAACACTCACTTGTTGGGCCTTCAGCATACGGAGAACAGCCTTTCGACTCTCTGGTCGCGAAATGACAGCGTGCGCTGGAACTTTAGCCAAATAACAGGTTTTATAATCAGCAATTGATTTCACACTGCCATCTGAACAGAGCAGAGCATAGTCCTTAGATTTGAGTTGCCGGTTCCAATCTGCTTTCCCATTGCCTGTGAATGAAAATTATTTCAATAATTATTATGGCCTGGAAAAAGGGTGAGGTTGAATATTTTTCAAGGGAATCATAATCTGTACCAAACAAACATGAGAGTGCTACTTAATTACTTAGCTCATGTTTAACATGAACAAGGTAACCCAATAATAATAATAATAATAATAATAATAATAATCCTTGCATTTGATTTTGCTCCTTATCTTGTTGCTGAGATGTCTCAAAGCGCTTCACAGTAATTATTATAAAGTGCATTGACTATGTATTTTGTGGGCGTAACACGGTAGTCAATTGCACACAGCAGTGTCCCACAGCCAATCGTGGATTGTGTGACCAAATTGTTTCTTTTTGTGTGTTAGTTTTGATTCGCCAATCGACTAACAACCATGTTCCTACTTACTGCTATACAAACAGAGGTAAGGAAAGTTGCCTAAGGTTTCGCCCCACCCAGGAAGCCAACCCAGATCCTGTCGCTTGTGAGACGAGCGTGCTAACTACTATGCTACAGAACTCCAATCTTAAGCAATGGCAGTTAGATGCCATGTGCAAGAAGCCTTGTGTAATGAGCCGTGAGTAAACTTGGAGTTGTCTCTCTGTGGCATTTTTTGGGGCAAACCGGGTGTCTGACACAGGCGGAAACCCATCACCATACTTTACAAGTATCCAAACCAAGCTGAGATTTCTATGCATGCATTTCACTCAGTGGCATGGGTACACTGCTATGAGGAGGGAACAATGCCTCAACATCTGGACCACTGTTAAAAGTGGCACTCCTTACATACCATCAGTGTTCTCAGTGACAGTTGTGTGCTTTACAAAAGCAACATCACCAGCTTCTACCAAGCACCTGAAAGACATTTAAACAGGCACATTCATCCATTGAGAAATCAGCCTGCAAATTACTTCACAAAATGACAAAATAGCCACTTCGCCAACAGATAAAGGAAATCATTTCTTCATGAACAGTAGGACCTGATTTTACCTGATGGCAACTCATACATACCTGTTGCTTGTTCTTGTTTTGCACTACATGCAAAATAAGAACAAGCAACTTTAGACATGTGTAAATAGATCCATTAGTAAAGGTCGACTATTCCTAAAACTAAATTAGGAATTGTTTATCAAAAATTGTGACAATTCAAGTAAAGTAGCCGTGAGTCAAAGAAATTAGGCAGAGAGATGGGGAAAGTGAAAAAGAAAGAGAAGTGACAGAGTCGGAAAGAGTGAGTGTAAAAGATGGTTATCTCACACACTCAGAGCAGAGGCTAAAGTCACATATACATAGGAACATAGCAACAGGAGTGGCCATTCAGTCCTTCGAGCCTGTTCCACCTGTCCCACGCAAGGCAAAGGTAAAGGGTATCAAATGTTCTGCTTCTCTTGGGCTTAGAGAGAGTGGAACCAACTATTAATTCTCACATTTGGAGTTCAAGAATGACACAGGGACCAGTTAGGAAATTTAAATACATTAGAAATAGGTGGAATATAATTACAAAACGGAAAGTAAGCACTGTACCTGAAAGCGCCACTGTAACCAGAGTACTCCTCATTGCTGCTGCCAGCACATTTGTCAGTATGTTGTAAACCTACTCTTCGTCCCACACACAGAGAACACAGTTTGGATGTAACATCAGCCCCAGGAGCACAACTTTCACTGAAGTACGTTGCTGTATGAAAAAGAAAAGGAGTCTAACTTTCCCGCTCAATGATATTATTTGAAAGCAGCACACAGTGGATTATTCCTTCTCATAGCCTCCTCCTATGGTCTAAAACAAAAGTATAGAGAGATGGAGGAGCCATTTTAAAAAAGACAAGTGAGAATTTAAAAATACACCTACAGTTGAAAATTTCACAGGGCTTGATGGCTTTTTTCTGGACCAGATATCCCATGGGAACATTCCACCCAGCGGAACGACCAATCCCAGTGTGACATGACTTCTTGCCCTTCAGAAGATCCAGTCGCAGGGAGCGATCTTTTACCACAGCCACAGAGTAGTAAGAGGCTGTAATGAGAAAATAGCACAGACAATATTTACTTTATAAATTCTAACATTTCTTCCAATCCTTCCTATCCAGGACGATGTACAAACTCTACACTTATCAATCAGCTCATATCTAACAAGGGCGAAAGGTATTCTAAATTTGTGCCTTTACTTGATTTTCCTCATGTTCAGATTGCATCCTTTCCTCAACACCATTTCAGCACTGTAATCTATGTGCAATAGATGTATTAAAGTAAGCACTTACGTGTCAATGTAGCTCCTATTTCAGGGTTGCACATTGTAGCATCTGTGGATGGAAAGTAAAAACGTTAAACCTAATTTGCATAGAAATGGCTGCGCTGGACAGGCTCAGTGATCAACTGATGACTATACTCCTTGGGGGTAAGGTACTCAACAACTTGCATTTATATAGCGCCCCTTACACAGGGTAGCATCCCAGAGGCTTATCTTAATTAGGGTCTCTAGTGTGATGTGCTTGGCAATGGAATGTTAGAATCGAGTCAATCCTCTGCAGTGGTCCAATTCCTGAGCCACGCAAGTCTGCGGTATTCCAGAGGGTTCTTGATGACAGACTAGCCAGACTGGCTCATTAGTGGGACTTGGAAGGGCAGGGATTCTTCTAACTCAGCTTCTGTTAACCCTGCAAGCCAAAGCCCTAACACGCAGGGTGTTCCTAGCTGGACAAGCAGTGGGAAACTTACCAGTTAGTGCTTTCAATAGCAAGCCATGTGGTTTTGGATGGTTTGACTCCAGCATTTCCCCAATTGTATTCTCTGGTGTGCCTAAGCCCCCACCCTTGTCAACCTGTGTCTCCAGAATTAAGTAACCAGGTGTGTCCTCTGGGGAGAGGGTATGCATTCCATTCCAAACACAGGAATTTCCACATGTGGATGGTGTACATGGAACTCTCAGTCTCGTTCCATGTCATTCTGTGTACACACTGATTCTAATCACACTGTAAGCACATAGATTCCAGTCATACTGTACATGCACAGACCCCAGCGCACTAAATGCACCCAGACTCCAATCATACTGCATATGCACAAAGTCCAGTCACACTGTATAAATGCAAGCTCAAAGTCACACTGAATGCACATAGACTCCAGTCACACTATCTGCAAACAAACCTTTGTCATACTATACACACAGTGTAGATGCACACTAAAATGATATATCATATACCTAATCATGTTAATAATAATATGAAACTTTCTCAAGGATACCTACTTTTACCATAGTATTCTCCCATAACTGGAACCAGACCACATTTTCCTGCAACATAGACCAGTCCACCATCCAGGCTTACAGCATCAGCTTCTCGTAACTGCAACAAATAGGTTTATTAGCATTCTCTCCATAGCAAGACAAATTATGCAGTATTGTTCTCTCTCCCAATTCTTAACCACCTATCTGTCCATCCATCCAGTCCCTTCCAGTTCCGTCCTATCCCATCCCATCTCACCCATCCCAACTAATCCATCTATCTAATCCATCCATAGCAGCTAAACCGTGCACTTCTCATTACTGTTATCACTTGTCTCCCAGCTTGTGCCAATGCTTTAGATGCAGTTGGCCATTATTTATATGTAAGCCCTAGAGTGAGTGTTAGTAGACTCTTATACAGCAAGGGTATCAAAGTCAAGCCCACTACTAAGCTTACTCAACATCTATACTTTCTAACAAAAGACTGGGAGCCTGGGAACTGGATATACTGTGTGACTGTGGCTTGGACTGTCAATGATTGGAAGTGGGAATCTTGCCTAATTTTTTTCTCTCCAACCTAGCAAACCGTGTCCAAATACCAAACTGAGACCAGCTAATTCAACACAGATAATTTTGAATCATTAATTTTCTGGTCAGTATGGCCAAAGATTAAAAATCATTCATGCGATTGACTGGATGGTTCAGTGGGTTATTTACTATCCTCTCAAGTCTGGGACATGGTGGGATGACACTTTAATTTCTTTGACAATTACTAGAATTCTAAATGATTTTGAAGAGTGGGGACCCCATTGTTAATGAGTTGAGGTCACAGAATAAAATCTCTAAACCATGTTAATCATAAACCAGTACTGAACTGGTAATCAAACTCAGAGAAAGGCTTGTGTCAGAATAGGAATTGTTCTGAATCCCACCCAAATTATATCTAACCAGTAGTGGTTATAGCTAATCCAAAAAAATCAGTAACTCTTCTACCCGCTAACAATGAACCTCCTTAGTTTGATATGCAACACCAATCACTTTAAGAACCTTTTTCTGAAATTATACTGAAAGCAACACGTACCGTGATCTTTTTGATGCAATCATCAGCGGACACTCCAGCAATACAGTCGACACCCACCCACCTGTCACACTTCCTTTGATCGAGTTGACCGATGGTGCACCAGCGGATTTTGCTTTTAGCAGTGGTCTTTATTTCATCTGGAGCAAAAAAATTCAAAAACCAGGTTTGTCGTCTGCAGACTAAACTCAACATTTGCTTACCCCAAACAAAAGCCTCCTTTAAAGACCGTCTGGAATGTGTGAACAGGTGGAGACCCATGCACACATAGTCCCATATCAGGATCAACCTCAACCCATTTGTACAGTATTACGAGTTACACCTTTGAAGTGAATTCATTCACGTGTGATGGGGCCATTTATATAGCGCCTTTCACATCAGAAGAACATACCAAGGATTTTCACTAGAGCTGTGGGTTAGAGGCAAGAGGGGTATGGATAAGGGATGGAAATGGGAGGGTGATCAAACAACAACAGCAACTCGCACTTATATAGTGCCCTCCACGCAGGGTAGCATCTCAGAGCGCTTTGAGCAACCAAAGGCATGATCAAAGAGGAAGATCTTGAGACGGGCCTTGAACAAGGCAAGGGATGAAGTGAGATGGAGGGGCTCCGGGTTGAAGTTCCAAAGGGTAAGGGCAGAAAGGCTGAAGGCCCAACTTCCGATGGTAGAGGAGGCAGAGCATGGGACATGAAGCACGCCAGAGCCTGCCGAGCAGAAGGAGCGGACAGGTTGGTAATGTCAAAATAGTAAACCTCTAAATGGTAGTTACTGTTGGACTGAGGGGGCTGCTGCCTAGAACCGCATTCATGGCAAATCTTAATCAGATGTGGGCAAGGAGTTCGGGCCTTTTCTCTTTGGCGAAAGAAGACGTTAATATGATCTTGAACAAATTTCTACCTCGTCTAAGAGCTGCTATAGCCTTTACATATTCAGAACCAAGATACATTCGGTAGTCAATGCCTTTGGGGAGATGAATCAAGCTTTGTACTGAGTCTTTGAAGAGCAGGTCCTTCTTTTTATACTTAGATGATTCAAAAAGTTGAAAAGATTTCTGTGAAATACAAAATAATGCAAAACATTAAAGATCAACATTGAAGAGTAATTTCCTGTAACATGGAGATCTAACAAAATAGACTTGTATGGTAAATTTAGGCTCAATTGGGTTTAGAATACAAAGTTCATTAGGGTTAATGTGTTCATTAACGTTATGCTAAATGAAGCACATGATGGCAACGTTTAAGCTAAGACTAATGAAACAGAATGAAAAAAACACTTTTGCAATTAGATTAAAAGATAATGAATAAGACAGTAAAAGGTTTCATAACTCAGGCACACAACCTCTTTTACTTTCAACAAATTTTGCGCTGTTTTCTTAGTTTTAGCAAGAATCCCACGTCTATGAGAGCACAGACAGGGTACTTCTTGATGAACCTGCTTGTAAAGTGAAATGAAATCACATTTGCACATAGTTACTCTACCACAGAAAAGGCTTTGCTGATAGAATGGAGGTCAGCACACTGATATTAAAATAGTAGAAGGACTAGCCCAGTAATCCTCCATTTGACCTCGGAGACCTGGTGCTCAATGAAGAGTGAAAAACAACAACAAAATTACATTTGTATAGCGCCTTACATGTTGGGAGGACGTCCCAAGGCACTGGACAGTCCGAGTTTCGGACTCTAACTCAATTCTCCAGGTTCTATTCACCACTTTATTGTACCTGAGCTATGGAAAGGAATCTCCAAATATCCTCAATCAGCTGAGCATCTGCAGCAGTTTTACTTCTGGCCACAACTGCATGAGCTGGCACTCTAGCCAAGTGGCAAAGTTTGTAATCGTCAACACTCCTTCTTGTTTTGTCTAAGCACAGCAACTCGTAGCTTTGCTTTACTGATTCTGCAAACATAAAGACAAAAAAGGCATTAACAGGTAGGTGTCAAACAGTATAAATCAATACATGATCAATATGAGGAGATGTAAAAGTCATTGATAGTAATTGGGAAACAAGGTGGGTTGGATATTGACTGAAACACAATGATTTCCTGACACTGAGGTCTCATAAAATAGAGACATTCTTGGACAACACGACAATGAGTTGCATTTATATTGAGCTGTTTACCGAACATCTCAAAGTGCTTTACAAGAACGGTGCCAGACACCAAGCAGGGAATGTGAAGGAAAGGGAAAGGATGGAAGAGGGATGTAACCGTAGACTGTAAGATGTGTGCAGTGGCATTTTGAATCAGTTGGACTTTGTGAACAGTGGAGCTGGGGAGATGGACGAGGAGTACATTGCATGATGTAGCTAGGAACCAAGGATGGTTTCTGACTTGTCCATGTTTAGTTGCAGAAAGTAGGTGCTTATCCAGGCCTGAGAGCAGAGCAGACCCTCTAGATTATGTGTGGGGAGGAAAGAAAATATAACCTCAGTTATAAAGGAAAATCTGTTTTTAAGTGCTTTAAATCGCTGGTCTGTTTAGACATTCTATACTTATTTTTCTTTTACTTTTTCATTGTTTTTCTATGCGATGCAACAATTTTAATAATAATAATAACAATCCTCGCATTTGATATAGCGCTTTTCACGTCTTCTAGACGTCTCAAAGTGCTTCACAGAATATACTGTAAAGTGAATTGACTATATATTTATAGGCAAAATGCAGCAGCCAAATTACGCACAGCCGTGTCCCACAAACAGTCGTGGATTGAAGTGACCAATTTATTATTGTTTTTTTCTTGAGGGATTATTATCAGGCATGTGGATGTTAAATTATTCCTGATGTTAAATTAGATATTAAGAATCTACTTTTCTTTACAAGTTTGATTAGTTATTTCATGTGGCACATGGAACACAACAAACTTCACATTTCGAGAAAGGGAAAAGAGATCCCGATTCCCATTCATTCAAATGCCCATCTTTACAAAGCACGTCATTTAAATGCCTTAATCCTGGCTACCTAGTAACCCTTCCTGTAAATGTACCAGGAATAAAGCCATTAACTAAAGGTCACATAAAGATTAGAACAACACAGGTTTGATTCCTCATCCTGATAACTGATCTCATCCTACTCAGTAGAAGGATATTATGAATTAGGTTGCACCAGAGCTGTGAGTGCTTTCCTTTATCTTTAATTAAGGGTTTACATTTGGTTAAAACGTTTTAATCCAGAAATTGACCCATTCAGCAGCAAAACAGCCTACATTCCTCTGAACTTAATCTTGATAAAAAGCTACATACAGTCACTTCCCTACCCAACTAAGGTCCCATTATTTGGCAGGTACATTTGTTGTGAGATACTGTATTCGGTAATAATTTCCATCCATTGACTTACGTGGTACTGTGGTATGTTTCACAAAGGCCACCTGTCCAGCATCTTCTTTCAAACATCTGTAAAACAATAAGCATTACCGTCACTTTGACTGAAAACACAATCCTCATCGTTAACACAGAGACGACAGGGTAAGTGAGATTGTCCATCGAGGCCTGTTAGTTCTGAGGGGCCAGGAGTTGATGAAATGTTGCTGGATTCTAGAATTGGTGGTAGAGTTAAGGGCATATATATCCCGAGATATATAACTGTCCGCTCTAGAAAAGTTGACCTAGTCCTATGCTGCTCTTTTTGTTCCACACCTTGAATCCACATCTGGCAAAAGTTTCTTTACATTCCCCCAAAAGAGCAATGGGAAACGTGACAATCTTAAATGAAAAACATGCCTTACTTCCAGCTTGAGCTAGCTACTATGCAAAATCTCTGAACCATGTTGGCCTTTTCCGGAAGGTCTGTGAAGTGAAGCCTTTGCAAATTGTGCTTGGCCAGAGGGGAGATGGGCTTGATGGACCAAAGGACCTTTCTTCTATATAAAAAAATCCTAAACTGCGGTTGTTTGTAACTATGTTTTAGGAAGAGGCCCTGATGGTAATAATCTCTCTGTTCTTATCCTTTGCAAACTCCTCAAAAATCCAATTTTCACTAATGTGATGAATGACTGTCCAGTTTAATCAGAAACGTAAACCAGCATCAAGATATCTACTTGCTACTTTGTAGGTGTGATTAATGATTAAACACAAAGTAGAATACTTACCGAAAAGCTCCAGAATAATCGTAGTAGGGTTCAACGTGGGAGCGCTTGCAGTGGTTTTCCTGGAGTCCTATGCACAATTGACAGAGCTTTGGAAATGCTTTTTTGTCTGCACCAGGTACACAGCTGGCAGAAAAGAAATCTTGCATCACTGAAAATAAAGTGGGGGTGGGCATATTATAACCATTCAGTGTTACACAGACAAGATTCAATAACTCGCTTAACACCACAATTGTATGCAACGAGGACTTAAACTCATTGTAATTGTTTTTAATTATTCATATGTTTTAAAACAACATCAGCAACAAATTACATTTGTATAGCGCCTTTCACGTCGGGAAAACGTCCCAAGGTGCTGGACAGTCAGGGATTTTGACCCAAGCAAGGGGTTGGAATCAGGAAGGGTAAAGGGCAGGGAGGGTAGGGGTAGGAGAGTGGCCAAAGGCACGGTCAAAGAGGAGGGTCTTGAGACGTAGGAGGCAAGATAGGGAGCAAGTCAAAGGGACTGTGGGATGGAGTTCCAAAAGGGTGGGGGCAGAGAGGCTGAAGATCCGACCGCCAATGGTGGGGTGGAACGGGCGAGGGATGTGGAGCAGGACGGAGCCTGCTGAGCGGAGGGAGCTAACCCTGGGCTTAGCAGGTCACAGAGGTAGGAAGGAGCAAGTCCATGAAAGGCTTTGAAGGTGAGGATGAGGATTTTGTACTCTATCGTCTGGGGCATGGGAAACCAGTGGAGCTGGGCGAGGGTGGGGGAGATAGAGTCACAGAGCCTGGTGTGGGAGAGGACCCCTTTGAAAGTAGATTCTTGTTTGTATCAATGGATGATGTGTAATGCATTCTTGGAGCCACTTCCACTGTTTAAGCTAAACGTAATAAGCGTCCATTTCTACATTATGTAATCAATAAGAAAATCTATTTCTGACCTCTGATTCAGAAAGAGAGAGAGAGATGAGTATACATGTGTATATTTTGGAAACAATTTAAGAATGACTCTTTGTGTAAGTGTGGGTATTCGTTTCTAGAAGCCTAGATACATAGAACAACGCTTTTGGATATCTGGAGGTACTTGATTCCACTGAGTTTTATTACACCTACTGGCTGATAAACCTTATTGTGTGTAGGATAAAAACTGATTGTTGAATGCATGCATTGAGATCGGAGACAAGACAGTTTTGAGCAATGTGCTGATATCTGCAAGTTGACATTTCTCTCACTTCTCAGCTGTATTCAGAGTTTTACAGAGGGGCCAATATTGACTGTGCGTTGAGCAGAGACTGTCACATGTGCAGAAAAAAATAAGCAAGCAGTATCTTACCTCTTTCAATTGGCTGATCTGCTTCCCATTGTGTCAGGTTATGTTCCAGAATGGTTCCCACAGGGATGTTCCATCCAGCAGACTTCCCCAGGCCAGTGTGGCAGGACTTCTTCCTTGCTAATTCATGGAACATGAATCCACTGCCCTTCTTTACCACTGCCACAGCGTAGTAACAGGATTCACCTTTCACAAAGAGTATACATTAGTTACAGAGCTGTTAGTGTTTTACAGCTCTGGCCTGCAGAGAATGTTTTAAGAATCAAATATTGTAACCCTATGTTAAGTGGGTGCAATGCATTGATCTGTAATCCAGTTTTTTTTTAGGTGTAAAAGAGGTTTGTGGCTGGAGGGCAAAATAAAGGGCAAAATGAAGTGTTAAATATGATATATGTCACTCACTCTTTAAGCTTACAGACAATAAATGTCTGATTGGCAGTGGTAAAAAAAGTAATTTGAAAAGAAGGTGAATATCTAATTTATCTGGAGGAGAAATGCTAGCACTCCAATTATGTGTTTCTTTACATTAATTTTTGTTAAGGTTTTACCTGTGATGTTTTCTGCTATGATTGGTTTCAGGTTTGTCGGTGAAAGACCAGCTTTGTAAATATCTCCTCCATCCACAGTAATAGCATCTGCCACACCAGTCTGAAATGAGATATATCAGTGTCAGTACAAAAAAAAATATTGCACACTATCACTAAAACAGGATCCTCTTTAAAGAAGCAGAATAGTTCTCATTGCTCCAATAAGTTTCTTTATAGACAGTCTGGATTGAAGGGAAAAAACTATTTACACTTTACAAATACATTTGCCCATATTCCTCATGCTGGTCTTGGTGCAACTACCCTCAAAACCTCATTCAAATGGCCAATATTCATATGCGTCTGAGTACCAGCAGACTATCTGATCATAGAGGAAGAGCCATCTCTCACAAAAACTGTATGAATCTATTTAAACTCCATCAACATTTGGGCAATTGGAGAGGCGACAACTCCTTCGATTGGAAGCATTCTGTTCCAGTTACTGTATAGTTTACCTTAAAACAGCAACTGAACCAATCTCTGACTCCAGTACAAACTGAGAAGCATCAAAAGCACATAAATCTGTTCCATTGGAATGAAGATATGTTAAAGTTGAGTAATATTTCCAACTACTAAAAGCAAACAAAAGCTTAACGGCAATGCTGGTGCCAGAGCACTACTTTTTGTAATAATCTTGTGGTGCAGTTTTTGTAGTTAATAACTTCACTTAAGATAAAATGCTGTACTGTTTTTACAGATTCGATTGGTAATAAGAATGGCATCATTCCCATCTCCTGAACAGATAATCACTTCACCCAAGATGATAATCCACTGACAAAGGTCGGGTTCCCAACCCCCCATAAGGAGTAATAATATCCCTCAAAATATACGGTATCAAATATTGTAAAGAATTCACATAATTTTTCCAATTTTCTAATTAGATTGTTGGCCCACATTCTCAGATGACTTTCTAATGCTTCAGTACCAGCAAATGAACACTTACCGCAATGTCAGTCAGACACATGGACACACTCTGCCTCTCCACACATGAAAAGCTGAAATGTTGTGTTGCCATGCTCTTTTTCAAATCCTCACATTTTTTTGTTTCTTGTGCAGAGGTTGTGCACCATCTAATTGTCGGGTCCACAGCACTGGAAAGGGCTGGGAAACAAGACAGATAGCATCACGTCTCATGTGTTGGCAATTATAACAAGCATAAAAAGGAAGGGATTATACAGGAAAGAAAACATGGATTATGCAAGGAGGGACACTGTCCCGTAAAACTAAAGTACAGGACCTAACTCCAAGAATGCAGCAGCTCTTAATGATGAACAGTGAAGATGCTGTTTTTGTTCCTCACATTACCTTGTGAAAACTGTTTTACTGATGAACAACACGGTATTTGTGAAACCTAGATTCTGCTGTTTCCCAAATACAAGACAATAAGAGCTGTGTCCAACAGGTGCTGGTAGCAGGCAAATTGCACAATATAAAGAGAACAATTTGATTAATAAATGCAGCATTAGTCAAGTTCTTCTGTACAGTGGCAGATCAATTTGTGCAAGGTTGCTGAAAAACAGAAATACGCAGCTGGTACAGATTGGGCAAACTACTTACAGAAATGTCATTTGTAAGAACTGAGGTGCTTTGAACATATACCTTATGTGTTAACACACATACAACAACAACAACAAAATTACATTTATAGAGCATCTTTCACGTCGGGAGGACATCCCAAGGCCAAAATATCTTAAATAAATAATACAGTTAAATTGTCATTATCTCAGAATTCTGAATTTGATATTATGTATTTGTCTATAATAATCATCAGCAAACCTTAGGGTTAAAATGTACTGGAATCATATGATAACCGGTGAAATAAAATACTCCTTGCTTTGTCACTCTAACAGGAAATTAATCTTCATTTGCAGAATATATTGCTTGGAACTAGTTTTTTTTAGGAGAAATCAATATTGGATAATAGTAACATCTAAAAATGTTTAAAATCAAGATTTGGTTAATCATTGTTTGCTGATGTTCACTGTGAAGAGAATTCTACAAACTGGTAACCCATTAAGTAGCCTCTTCTGGTTAATAATTTAATTTACATTTTTTTATTTTCAATTACACTCAGACTCAGAGTCTTTATACATTTTTAAATAAAATTCTACTGCTTATTTGTCCTGCTGTGTCATTGATCTCACTGATTTGCTCCACACATTTGTTAAATAATTGAAAGTTTTAACATATTCTCCTGTTTGGAAGAAAAAGTCTAGCCTTAAAACAATGAAAAAAGAATACTTACAAATAATTCCCAAGAACAGAGCTGTATAGGTCAAATACATCTTGTGTTCCTGTGATACTGGAGGAATAGAGAAGAAGGGCTTGTGTCACAACTAGCCCAGACAAGGTTGTGACAAACTCTTTTCAACTTCTTCTGCCCTTTATAAAGCTTAGAAATGATTATGCTAGCAGAACAAGAGATAAGGATGACGTAGAATTGTTTGGACTATCTTTCACAACACTACTTACCAAAAACTCAGTCCACTTCTGGAAAATTCTAAAGGTTCATTTAAGTGCCAAGAGCAGAAAAATTCTGATCCAGAGGGGAGTAAAAGTTTATCACCGATTCTCGAAAATACCCTGGGCAACATGGCACCAAATGAATAAGGTTCTTTGTTTGAAAAATAACTCAAATTCCTCAAGTTATTTGAATTCACGTTTGATGGGCATTTGCAGCTTTCATTTATTTAATTTCTTTTCTGTCACTCTTGTGCAAAGTGGTAGAAGTGTTTCATTGTCAGAGGAGGTGGGCAGGGCAGGGGGTGGTAAGCAGGTTTTCCTTAGCTGAACTGACCCCAAGGTAACATGGTTTGCGATGGAATGTTGGGATCGAGCCAGCGCTCTGTAGTGGTCACTGCAGTCCAGTTCCTGAGCGAAGTGGTCCACAGTACCCCAGGGCCCTGATGATAACAACACAGCCTGGCTCAGGGCTTGGAGGGTAGGACCTGTAATGGCAGACCAGTCACGGGGGAGCAGGGAATCCTCTTATTCAGCTCCTGCTAAGCCCGCAAGCCAAAGCCCTAACAGCTAGGGTGGTCCTAGCTGGACAAGCAGCGGGAAAGCTTGCCGGACAGTGCTATCAATGGCAAGCTATGTTGTTTTAGCTTGTTAGGCTTCAGCAGTACCCCAAGGCAGGGATCTTCTGGGATCCTCAAACCTTGGTTCCTACCAACCTGGACCCAATACTTTCTGGAATTAGGTAAGCAGGATGTTTCCTCCCAGGGAGACAGCGCGCAGTCCATTGGAACAATCTTTCTCTACAATTTCCATGTGTAGGTTGGATGCATGGAATTCTCAGTTTGGGTTTGAAACTGTTCAGCATGATGATGGGTTTCCGCATGTGCTTAACAAACAAACAAAACAAAATTCAGATGAGATATTAAGTCGGGGTCCTGTCTGCTTGTTCAGGCATATAGTAAATATTCCAATCGTACTACTTAAAAAGGGAGTTTCTCCCGGTGTCCTGGCCAATCAATTCATGGCTCATTGTGGGATATTGCTGTGCATATGTTGTCTGCCGCTTTCACCTAAAAATAATAAATAATTCTTGCATTTGATATAGCGCTTTATCACAATGTCAAGACGTCTCAAAGCACTTCACAGGATATGTTGTAAAGTGATGTGCATTTTGTGGGCGAGCACAGCAGCCAGTTTGCAAATAGCGATGTCCCACAAACAGCCCCAGTGACCAATTTTATTTGGGGAATTGGTGGCCAGGACACTGAGAAAAACTCCCTTCTCTTTTCGAATAGTGCCAATGACCACCTGAACAGGCAGACGGGACGTAGGGTTAATGTCTCCTCCAAAGCACGGCACCTCCAACAATGAAACACGCTCCCAGCACTGCACTTGAGTGTCAGGTTAGACTATGTGATTCCAAATACACAGCCACTACACTAAACAGTAAATACTGTGAAACGCTTCGACAAGGCATTGTATCAAGTGCAAGTTTTTTTTAACTTGCCTTTTCTTCTAAACTTTCACTTGTGCCCGAACAAGTACCCCCCACCCCTTCAGCTCCCCTTCCAGCTTGGGTGCCAAGTCAGCTGTGTGAAGCACTAAATAAATGTAAACTGATACTGTATTTTATTTCACAACATTTATCAAAATAAGGAAATGAAGAAGAAAAATAATAAAACCACAGATTGCCCCAGATTCCTGCTTGCAACAAGGTCACAATTTATAATTAAAAGTTACAAAATCAAAATCACTCAGGTTTACAAATCATTCTGACCACAAGTATTTGTTAATCAAGCTTAACGCCCGTAATCTACCTGATAACGTTTAGAGGAGTGAGTATTGGTTTGTTCAGCCTAAATGGTTTTAAATTCCCTCCCTACATTTGTTTTTTTCTTGGAGTTTAATATTCTTGTGTGTGGGAGCAGAACCAATTATTTATTTTCTGCAATATGAGCTTTGTTTTTTTTGTGATCAGATGACCCGTAGAATGTATTCTGTGGCAGAAATAATTTCCACATATATTGTACAATTGGCACAAGGTTGTCATTGTTTGTTGTTTGCACACTGACAGCAAAAATCTATCAAGCAATTGTATCACCATGGATTACGAGTCAACATGAATCTGGTTCGACATTGTTCTCTAGATGATTGATTTATAGTCCTGTGTTTATTATACTCTTTTTAAAATCATCATTTTCAGTGCGTTTTTTCCTTTTGCGTTCAGCAAGATAAGGAGTGTCAATGCCTTAATATCTTTTTAACTTCATGCAACGATTGTTCACTCCCAGGCATGTACCCGTGCAGCAAAAATTGGGAAAAAAATCTTATTGTCTTTCAGCGCCATTGGGACATCCTCCTGACATGAAAGGCATTAAACAAATGTAATTTGGTGGTGTTGTTTCAAAGTATCACATGAATTTCAGTTCATGCAAAGAATCCCTCTGAATGACCACAACTTACCTCAACAACTTTCCTCAACCAAATTTTCAGAAGAGGGTACACCTGCACCTATGTTAATTGTTCCACTTTCCAAGTCTCTAGTTTCTCTAAGTGAGGTTGCCTTTGAATTAGTTGTTTTGTGCTATTGGGCTGCAACTAAAGAAGTCACACGTAACACAAGTCATTGGTCTGAAGAGTTAGAGGGGAATTTTCTTAATCTTTTGTTGGTGTTACGTGGGTAAGTAATCTTAGACTGGAATGATAGAAATTTCAGTAGAGAAGGCCATTTGGCCCATTATGCCTATATTTCCTAAATTCCTCCATTGGTGCTTTTATCCAACCCCATTTCGCTCATCATTCCCCATACCCTCTTACAACAATAACAGCATTTATGCAGTGCCTTTCATGCCGGGAAGACGTCCCATGGCGCTGGATATATTAGAGTACATGTGTATATATATATTATATATACCATATTACAAATTAGATGTATTCTTCTAACATTTATCATATCACAACACAATTCCGTGCTACTTTACAATGGTCTTACACATCCAATTGGAATTCATTGTACCCCGACCACACTATCTAATTTATTTATATTCTGTGAAGTGCTTTGAAATGTCTCAACTACGTGATAAGGCAAAATTTCAAATGTAAGGATAATTATTAGTTGTGAGATACTATATCTGTGGGTATTACAGTTACTTCTTGCAGAACTATTGTTGGATTTGCTAACACAAAACAAAATATGCTGCAACCTTGCTTTGCAAATCAACCACATTGTGTTGTAACACTGCGCAAGTCCACAGCAATATTGTTGTGATGATCTTATTTCTGCAAGATCCTTGCATCATTGATAGTCCTTGCCTCATCCCAATATAATTGTCACATAACCATGGTAGTGAAACAAATCTATATTACCGTTTCATTTTCATTGAGGTGCTTCTCTTCAGTTGAAATAGCAGATGTTCACTGATCTGAATCGTTTTCTGCAATAATTGTACATGTTTTTTGATCAGTCTGACACATGCGGAAATCCGTCGTCATGCTTGAGTGTATCCAAACCAAACTGAGAATTCCACCCATCCCACCTATATGTGAAAATTCCCAAGATAGTTATTGAGAATGTGCACTTTAATTACTCAGATTTATTACAAGCAGAAGCCTTATTCCACTGAAAGCCCTTCTGTCTTTTATATAGTTAAGCAATGTTGTTCTAGGTGGAGCAAATTACAATTTCTCTTCTGTTCATCCAGTTGTGTAATTCCAAGCCATTGTTTTTTGTTCAGTGCAGCATGCAAAATACTTAGCTCCATATGAAATATGGAGTAAGAAATGATTGCTTATCAACATGACTGTGACTAGTGTTTTAAAGTAGCTTTATTGGTAGATTACTGTGGATATAATAGCATGCACTGTGGGTTTTACCATCAGAAATGCATTGCTGTATAACTTGACTCCTTAAGCTCTGGCACAATATGTGGATCACTGGGGCTCTGGACGCTATTTGCCTGAAATTCTGAGAGTTAAAAGATTAATTTCAGTTTATGGGAGATGGAAGAAGTCACACTGGAATAGTGGGTGCTCTTCTAAACTTAGAATTGTTATTAGAGAAGTTTTAGGGAACTGGCACTAAGCGGAGTTGTAAGTAATCTGATTGTGCTCAAAGGAGTACAGGGTATTCAGTTTTGATTCATATGTAAACCTTGGTAATGAGTGCTGGCAGCTTGTTCACCCATGGGACATGATAGCTGAGGCTGATCCCAACCACTCATGCACACTCAAGACGCGATCACGAGATAGCCACCAAGAGCAGGAACCTTGTTAGTTTATTTTTCGCATCATAACCTGGTTAAGCTAATATTAGCACCCAAACTGCTCCACTGACTGAGCTTGATTGTATTTTACGACAAAAGGCTTTGAATAAACACTTTTATTCTAGAATCTATTAATCCTCGTATTTAGGGCACTCGGCTCTTCAGATATTGGTGCCACTGATGTGTTACGGGTAGGTGGCAGGTGTGACTCAGGGTGTCAAGGCCACAGCAGTATTTGTGAGTACACAGTTGTATTGGTGAGTACACAGCAGTACTGGAGAGTATACAATGATATATAGAATTATTGGTTATTGATGAGTATTCAATGGTATATGCAGTCGTACCAGTGATTGTATGTAGAATAGAGGAAACTTTTCTTTACTGTACCTGAGCAGGAAGTGTTTCTGCTGCTACTGGGCACACAAAATGCAAAGCAACCCCAACCAAATTAACCAAAATAACCCTAATTTAAAGAACCACAGTAATGATGATACAAAGTGAGAACGAGCTGTGAGGGAGAGGAATCTACTGTAATTTCTGAGGGAAATAATGTAAAAGAGAGTGCTACACTGAGAGTGCCTTTATACACTCGGTTTGCCAGTTACTAACACCTGTGATAAGGGAACAACATATATTTATATAGAGTACTTCATATTGGATGTCTCGAAGTGCTTTCCAACGCTAAGTGTAAATGAATGGGATCTAGGAGTAATAATGACTGAAACATTGTGAGGATAATAATATAATAATGCTTGCATTTGATATAGCGCTTTTCAAGTCTTCTCAACTTCTCAAAGCGCTTCACAGAATATACCGTAAAGTGATTTGACTGTATATTTTCTGGATCTCAGGAATTACAATAAAATATGAAACTAAAAAAGAATAATGTCTGCAGAAAGAAGAGCAGAAAGATACTGATTCAAATATTTGTGGATCCCTGGATTAATGTAAGACCCATAGGACTGTTCTGTGGTTGGTATATTTCAGTTACTGTCCAAATGTCAGTTTTAGTGAACAAAAACATTCTTGGTGACTATAGAAAAGACACCTAAGCAAAGATTACAAAATTCTGCAGTTTTTAAGAAAACATTCTTATCTAAATGTCAAAAAGTGGTTAAAGTCCAGCTTCTGCATAGTTCCAGCAATCTAATTTTCTGGCAGGACTATGCTGAGTTGACAAAATAGGATTTTGACCTGCAGATTATTAAACTCAAACTCAAACAGAACCATAATTTAAATTGAGCTAACGTTACTTTTAGGTGAGGACATTAGGGAAGTTACTCCCTGTAAACCTGGTTTATAGTGGATGCTGCTCCCTAGTATGCGAAATCTTTTTTGTGGCACTCGGGTTTTTCAGGACAGTCAAACATCTATGGACATCACTATACTAAATAATGCTTGACTCTATACCCTGCGATCTATTGATTGAACCTCTAGGATATAATCCTTGCATTTTGATATAGTGATTTCACATCAAGAGGACATCTCAATGTGCTTCACTGGATTTGCTGCAAAGTCCAATAACTGTATTTTGTAGGCAAATGTAGCAACATGACCAATTTTATCTGGGGAATTCTTGACAAGGATACCTGGAGTAACTTCCTTCGCATTTCAAATGGTACCATTAGATCTTTAATGTCCACCAGAACAGGCAGACAGGACCTTGGTTTAACACCGGATGATATCCCAAACAATGCAACACTCCCTCAGAATGGTAGTGTCAGCCTTGTCTGGGAGTTCAAAGACCCAATATGGAGTGGGGGGAGAATTAAAAATTAAATCAATATTCACTTCCAATGAGTTTAATATTAAAACAGTGCGGAATCACCTTAGGTGATTGATTCTTTTTAAATAACCTTAGCTGTCACAAAGTAAGGCTATTTCTAGGACTATTTAGTGAGGTCTGATGCAGAGAATCTGTCTCCAACTCCCAACTATTTCTTCCCATTTTCAGCTCATGGAGAGGGAGAAGAGTAGGGTTACGGTTGTCATGCAGTGGTATAGAGAGAGAGTTGGCAGTCAGGGAAATTATTCACTTTTATTTTGACAAATTCCAGAATATGGAAGAGTTAGTTGTGCAATTTTCTGATATCTGGTGCATCACAACCTGATACCTGCATGCAAAATCTGTTTGTTTCTACACTTTATTTTCTCCCCCTCTCCCAAAAAGAATCTCAGAATTGCTGAAATATTTGTTCAGTTCCCTGGGGGCTGCTGTCACAATGTCCCCTGACTGATTTGCAGAAACCGTATTCTGATTTTAAAAAAATGACGTAAAAGTACAGCTGGGTGCACAGAAAAGCCTGTTGCTAATTGTTCTTATCTGAGCTAAGGACTTTTGACCTTGCGATCTGTTTGCATGGGTAAATAGCAATATCAAACATTGAAGAGTGCCACTCCTAACAACCTGATGAGACCTCCAAAGAGAACTCATGCTGATGCTGGCAACTTCATTGTTGAATGATACAATCTCCCATAGTCAGTGTGACCTGTAGCAACAGCTGTATTGTTCTTGTTGGGAGAAATCCCTGAACTGTCACGTCCACTTCACTTGTTATATGTATTGTCTATGCCAGGGCTGTGAGGAAGGCACCAAACCCACAGGAAAAGCAGATGTCAGCAGAGAATGTGACAATCTCCCCTTACTCCTGCTGACCTGCAGCAGCTGTGTTGTTTTATTTTCTCAGAAGAGATCCTTGAACTTTCTTATCCACTTCACAACTGCTGTGCCCAAGGCAATCTGAACCCCATGGATTGGCAATCTCCAAGTCTGGACTATTGCTTGATAAAGGTATCATTTTTTCAAAATTTCAATGTAGTAATGTTGGCATTTTACATCGCCTACATCAGTGTCAATAATATGAACCAACTTCCATCGGCAGTGATATGATTTCAGGGTGTCACTTGCCCTGCTTTCTTGACCATCACTAAATTTCCAAGCTGCGAAAGGATCCTATAAGGTATTTAATACTTTTATTTACCTTTATTTTGCTACCCTTGTTTTTGGCTTATATACACCACTCCAACTTGTCTGCCCGTACACTGCCTGTGTTGTACCTGGGCTGTAGTGCTTGATGTTACAACTGAGTAAAGAAAATCACCCAATGGCATTGCGTGGCACTTGTATTTTCTGATTCTGAATTCATTCCAGAAAAAAATTGAATCCACAACTATTTGTGGGACACTGCTGTGCGTAATTGGGTGCCGCGGTTCACAAAATATAGACAATTCACTTTACAGTATATTCTGTAAAGCATTTTGAGATGTTTCAAAGACGTGATAAGGCACTATATCAAATGCAAGGATTATTATTATTTCCTGGAGCAGGCCATTGAAAGTGTCTGTCTCCATCTGGGTCTAAATTCACACTGTCATTTAAGACCTTTTTCCCAGTTGGCGGAATTTCTCCTCAATTGTGAGGAAGCTCTTGACTTCTCTTGGGCATTTTCTCCTGAAGTTACTAACCAGAACAGGGGGATTTATCTTACGTAAATTGAAGGCGCAGTTATGAGAACATCTCGAGACACACAAAGCCACTCAGTTTGCCAGGCACAAAATTGTTTTTAATAATTGATGAAATCCACTTCTGTAAACTCATAAATCTATCTGTTGTGGCCAAGACATGTCTGAGTGA